ACAAAGTCAATCTGAGTCACCCAAGACTAATCTATGATCTTTCTCTTTACTCTGGCAACTTTCATCAGTCAGAGAGTAAGTGTCAGGCAGACATGGGCAGACACACACACACACACACACACACACACACACACACACACACATCATCTCATCTGCAGAAAATTCTTACTTTGTCATGCTACGGAATTCTGCATCAAGGCCAAGGTTCTACCCTTTCTATTTTAGATCCATCTATCATGGTATTACTTAACTATCAATACATAAGAAAAACAAATCAAACCTTTGATTCACTTTGATTTTATGAAATAACCTGAAACCCACTATAGCAGAGAGACAAAACCATGACATTGTGTATTTAAAATAGTTTAATCTTTCAATAGCTCTGGACGAAAGGAGAGCAATAGTTAAATGGCATGTGTATGTGCATAGTCACTTCAGTCATGTCCAACTCTGTGTGACCCTATGGACTCAAGCCTGCCAGCCTCCCCTGTTTGGAAAGATAACATCTTAAGTAGGATTCAGAGAATATTTCTAAGTAATGAAGCACATTAAAGGTCATTTATAAGTAAGGTATTAAAAGCAATTTTTACTGCTACGGATTACAGTGGGAGCTACAATAAATGTGGATGGGTGATTTTTTTTAACTGGTCATGACTAGAAAGCAACATTTCGTTATCCATTCCAGCCTACTCAAAGGGAAAATCTATTGTTTAGCCACAAAGGACCTTGAAAATGAGGAGACTATGGGCTTTTTGTGCCTAGCCAAGATTGCATAAAGCCTCTTGGATATTAAAGAGTTGACACAGCTGAACAGATCAACAGACTTAGGAATCTGTTGAAGTAGGTAGGTGATACCATTTTTAGGAAATAATAATGTCATCTTTGGAAATCATAAATGTTAATTCTCTCAATACAGATTTTTCTCTCAAGACAGGTTCCTCTCTGAGTTGTGAGTAGGATATAAGGAGATGGATGGGGGAAGGATGTCCCGTCAAGTGCATTACTAATAAATTTTGTGAACAAAGCAACATCTTGTATTTGAATGTTTTGTCTTCAGTCTTCCAAAGATTGACTCAAAGAAGGCAGTCAGAGAGGTAGGTTAGCACAATGGCTAAGACCTTTATTTTAAGGTTTACACATACCTGTGTTGATCCTAGCCCATTCCTCACTAGCTGTGTGACATTGGCCACATTACCAATTCTCTAAATTGTGGCTCAACAATTTTAAAAAGAGATGTTAATATCAGTTCCTACTTCATAGTGTTCTTGCAAGGATAAAAGTAAGTAATGCACATAAAATGCATTTGTCATCTAGTAGACCCAGGTCAGGGCTTCCCATGTGGCACTAGTGGTAAAGAGCCTGTCTGCCAAAGCAGGAGATGAGGGTTTGATCCTTAGGTAGGGAAGATCCTCTGGAGGAAGAAATGGCAACTCAGTCCAGTATTCTTCCCTGGACAGAGGAGCCTGGTAGGCTACAGTCCTTAGGTTGGTCCTTTAGAGTTGGTCACGACTGAAGCAACTTAGCATGTGTGCATGCAGACACATATTAAGAGGTCGTGGACTTCTTAAACCCACCAGGGACTTCTCTGAAGCTCAGGGTTTAAGGTTCTGTGCTCCCAATAAGGCGGCATGGGTTCCATCCCTGGTCAAGGAATTAAGATCCCACATGCTGTGTGGTATAGCCGGAAAAAAAAGAGGTGGAGCTGAGAAATGACCTGAGACCAAGTGGGATACCAATGGGGCAAGTGCAAATCTGGTGGGGCCATTGGTCAATTCTCACTGCTCATCTTGATATATGAGCAATATTTGACAATCTTTCCTCCCTGATAAACTTAATTCACTCTGGTTACTGGTAAACATAATAAGCTATGTGTTGTGTTGTGCTTAGTCGCTCAGTCATGTCTAACTCTTAGTGACCTCAGGGACTGTAGCCAGCCAGGCTCTCTGTCCATGGGGATTCTCCAGGCAAGAATACCAGAGTGGGTAGCCGTGCCCTCCTCCAGGGGATCTTCCCAACCCAGAGATTGAACTAGGGTCTCCTGCATTGCAGGCAGATTCTTTACCAGCTGAGCTACCAGGGAAAACCATACTAAGCTATATGTAATACTTATTCTTAACCCTGATCCTAACTTTGTGCTATGATACTAGTTTAATCATCTTCAACATATATTTATATCGCCTTCACAAATTCCAAAATTCTTCCAGGTACTGTCAGAGAAAGATTTTTGGATGGGCCCTAATTACTATAAATTCAAGCTTATGATGTCCACAAATTATAAAACAAGGTAAGCAACTTTCTTTAGGAAATGTCTAAAATAACTTTATTACTGTCTTGGGGGTATTTTATTAAGCAATAAATTTTCAGTACTTTGAAATCATCCTGTAATTATATACTGCAAATATAGTATGAGTTTTGTGCTGTGTATTGAGAACTCCAAACTGAACTAGACCAGTGACCTCTCTTTAAGGGGTTCATGTGCGTGCATGCTCAGTAGCTCAGTTGTGTCTGACTCTGTAATTCCATGGACTGTAGTCCTCTGTCCATGGGATTTTCCTGGCAAGAATACTAGAGTGGGTTGCCATGCCCTCCTTCAGGGGCTCTTCCCTACCCAGGGATCAAACCCGAATCTCCTGCATTGCAGGTGGATTCTTTACCACTGAGCCACTGAGGAATCCCCTAAAGTTATTGCAAATAATTGGAACATGACATGGTGTGTCCAGCAACAAAAATACTTACAAAACACAGTGGTGGCACAAAAAGGGAGTTTGCAGCTCTATTTCACTGGGCTAGGGAAACTTTCACAGATGTAGGGATAATTGAACTTGGATTTAAAGGAAAATTAGGAGCTCAACAGGGACAATTAGGTAGATGAGATAGGGTAATATTTGTAAAGAGAGATTTAAATGTGTTGGAATCAAATATCAACAATCTCAGATATGCAGATGACACCACTCCTAACGGCAGAAAGTGAAGAAGAATTTAAAGAGCCTCTTGATGAGGGTGAAAGAGGATAGTGAAATAGCTGGTTTGAAACTCAACATTTAAAATACTAAGATCATGGCATATAGTCTCATCACTTCATGGCAAATAGATGGTGAAAAAGTGGAAACTGTGCCAGACTTTATTTTCTTGGGCTCCAAAATTACTACAGATGGTGACTGCAGCCATGAATTTAAAAGATGCTTGCCTCTTGGAAGAAAAACTATAACAAACCTAGACAGCATATTAGAAAGCAGAGACATCACTTTGTTGACAAAGGTCTGCATAGTCAAAGCTGTGGTTTTTCCAGTAGTCATGTACAGATGTGAGAGTTGGACCAGCAAGAAGGCTGAGTTGCTGAAGAATTGATGTTTTTGAACTATGGTGTTGGGGAAGACTCTTGAGAGTCCTTTGGACAGCAAGGAGATCAAGCCAATCAGTCCTAAAGGAAATCAACCTTGACTATTCATTAGAAGGACTGATGCTGAAGCTGAAGCTCCAGTACTTTGGCCACTTGATGTGAAGAGCTAACTCATTGTAAAAGACCCTGATGCTGGAAAAAATTGAGGGCAGGAGAAAAAGGGAGTGACAGAGGATGAGATGGTTGGATGGCGTCACTGACTCAATGGGCATGAGTTTGAGTAAACTCCAGGAGAGAGTGAAGGGCAGAGAAGCCTGGCGTTCATGGGGTTGCAAAGAGTAGGACACAACTTAGTAACTGAACAACAACAGGTTATGGAAGTAACAAGTTGAGTAGGGGCATCAACACTAATTTGGCAGAAATGTAACTGGTTCCATAAAAAAATAAACCACCCAAGAGAGGAGAGTGAGAACCAGCTCAGAGAGACTTGATCTTTGAAAGATTTTAGTTGTGGAATTGAGTTTTGTTGTTGTTTGAGTTGCTAAGTTGTGTTCGACTTTTTTGGGACCCCATGGACAGTAGCCCACCAGACTCTTCTGTCCTTCAGATTTCCCAGGCAAGAATACTGGAGCGGGTTTCCATTTCCTTCTCCAGGGGATCTTCCTAACCCAGGAATCAAATCCACATCTCCTGCATTGGCAGGTGTTTTTTTTTTTCCCCCAACCACTGATCTACCAGGGAAGCCCTGGAATTGAACTTCACTGTATGGGTAAGACATTATGGGAAACTGAAATAACATCAATTTATCAAGTCAAGCCTAAAAGTAATCTTTCTCTTAGAGAATTTTCTGAAAGTTTCATACATTAAAAAAAGTATTCCCTGGTTGTCCAATGGTTAAGAACCCACCTGCCAATGCAGGGGACATGGGTTTGATCCCTGCTCCAGGAAGATAAACCATGGGGCCAACTAAGCCTGTGTGCTGCAACCACTGAGCCTGTGCACTATGGTCTTTGTGCCAAAACTACTGAAGCCTTCATGCTCTAGAACCTGTGCTCCACAACAAGAGAAGCCATCACAATTTGAATCCTGTGCACCGCAACTAGAGAGCATCACCCCTCACTGCAACTAGATAAAGCCTGCAAGCAACAATGAAGACCCAGCACAGCCAAAAATAAATAAATGAATACAATTGTTATTGCACATGCTTATGTGTTTACCTGAATTAGTTAATGATTCAATTTTCTAGATGAATTACTTTCGTGAGTGAAAGGTGGTACTAGTTGGATGGGACATTGGAAGAGAAGGAATGAACTAGGACTGACCCACACAAACCAAGACATATGGCCAACCCACTTTGACCCAAGTGGGCTGATGGCCCAGGTGGAGAAATCACTGTTCTTGCTCTCCGGGAGCTCATGTCCTGAGGAAGGGGGAGTAAATGTGATGTGATGAAACATTCGGTGACTGTGAACTCCATATTTGGGAATGAAAGTGGGGGTGGACTTGAATTTCATCTCTTCCATGTGGGTTAAAATGAGAGCTCAGAACACTAATAGCATCCAAAGCCATGTCTCATCTTGAAAGACTCTCTGTGATTGTGTGACACAGATCACTGGACAAAGAAATTCTGCTGCCTAGTTGTCTTGGAAAGTCTGTAAACATGAAGCTGTTTCTGGTCCTCATTATCCTGCTGTTTGAGATATCTGAAGGTAACTTGTCCAAATGCACCATGAAATTCGAGGAAATACTACTATTCACAGAACTAGGGGCAGGGCCTTCAAGATAGTTGATATCTTGCTGAGATCATCAAAAGGACCCAATGTCCTGGGTGCCTGACTTGAGTCTGTCTTAGAAGACAGGTTCCAGGAAGGTAAGAAATTGGGGCTGAACTCTCAGAAGTCCTCTCCTTCCATCATCTAGCATTACCTTTACGATGGTGGACATAGTTTTCACCCAGGAATCTGGCCATCTCTTTTTCCATTTAAATTCATTTTCAGCCTATATTACAACAGTAATGTGAACAGTAGAAGCTGTGGAGTCCTGTAGATGTGAGGTTAAAATACATTTTCCTCATTGCCTAGTTGTATGACATGAGCTAATTATTCCTTTTGAAAATCAGTTTTCTCATCTATCATCTAAGGATAATGACTCAGTTCTACAATGACTGTATTTATGCAAGGATTACATGAGCTTACTAAAGTGCAGCACCGAATTCATGGTAGGGGCTCTGACCGTGAGAATCCTCTTCCTTGCTGTTGTAGGAAAGTAGGTTGTCTTTTTGTGGCCCTATAAATGTCCTTTTAACCTTCAAAGATGATCCTGGTTCTGGAATTTAGAATATGGAGAATCATATCTTTGTTTTCATCTTCATAAGGGCAAAGGAAGAATAGGATAAGGAACTTTACAACCTCCGTGCAATACTCTGAATAGGTGATGATTTGAATGTGTGGGAAAACAGGCAAACATGGAATTGAGTTTGATCTGTGGACAACATATTTATCTGAGATCAAAAGAAGGATGGGAAGAGAGAGAGAGAGAGAGAGAGAGATAGGAGAAGAGAGGAGATAGGAGGAGCCAAGTTGTGAAAAGAATGAAAGAAGGAGTTTTCAACAGCAATATGCTGAGACCTGTGAAGTATCAGCCAAGAGAGATTTCTGCTGCCTATATCAATGAGTGTGAAACCTAACTACACTGTTAACTTTAAAAGTTCTATCTGTGATGTTCTTTTAAAGGTTAGTTTGAATTGTGCCGTGGTGACAAGTTGATACTGTCTAGGGCTGACGGGTTGCTGACTCTGAATACTGGCTGGGAACCTGGGATTTTACATGTCTGAATTTGAGATGACTTTCAAGGAGGAGACTCTGAGTTTTCTCTCATTATAAGGTTCACTCTGGGACCACTGGAAGTCATAGCTTGTGGGGAACCATAAAACTCTTCTTCTCTGCCTCAGGAACTAATCTGGTTCATTGCTGTTTTCTGTGCACAGACAGAGTGTGGTCCAGAAAATGCTTTAGTACCATAGCAGGTTACTGCAAGAAGAAATGCATGTTGGGGGAAATATATGACAAACAATGCAGAAGAGGAAAACTATGTTGCATCAATGAAAGCAAAAAGAAAACACAGCAGCAAGCCATACAAAAGCCCGAACCTTCAAGCAAGCCTGATTTGAAGTTGGACTATGTTATCTTACCCACTGTCACACTTGGCACTTTTCCAGAATAAACCAAGTGCTGTTCCACAGGTCTCCTCTCTTCTTCTTAAATCAAAAGTGCCACCTAATCTGATGGGGAGGGGCAAGAAATTGATCTACTTCTTTTGTGAACTTGATTTTCCACGTAATAAAGTCTTTTACTTTCCCCTGGATTTATTTGTTCATGTATTCACTCATTTCTTTTAACACTCCAAACTTATTTATTTATTTATTCAATTTATTTTTTATTAGTCGGAGGCTAATTACTTTACAATATTGTAGTGGTTTTTGCCATACATTGACATGAATCAGCCATGGATTTACATGTGTTCCTCATCCCGATCCCCCCTCCTGCCTCCCTCTCCATCCCATCCCTCTGGGTCTTCCCAGTGCACCAGCCCTGAGCACTTGTCTCATGCATCCGGCCTGGGCTGGCGATCTGTTTCACATTTGATAATATACATGTTTCAATGCTATTCTCTCAGATCATCCCACCCTCACCTTCTCCCACAGAGTCCAAAAGTCTGTTCTGTACATCTGTGTCTCTTTTTCTGTCCTGCATATAGGGTTATTGTTACCATCTTTTTAAATTCCATATATATGCATTAGTATACTGTATTGGTGTTTATCTTTCTGGTTTACTTCACTCTGTATAATGGGCTCCAGTTTCATCCATCTCATTAGAACTGATTCAAATGTATTCTTTTTAATGGATGAGTAATATTCCATTGTGTATTTGTACCATAGCTTTCTTATCCATTCGTCTGCTGATGGGCATCTAGGTTGCTTCCATGTCCTGGCTATTATAAACAGTGCTGCAGTGAACATTGGGGTACATGTGTCTCTTTCAGATCTGGTTTCCTTGGTAACACTCCAAACTTAAACGAATATTTTTCGTGTTTTGGGCATTATGCTAGCAACATGGCTGATACAGATATGAAGTGAACATATTGGTAGGAGTGGCAGTTAGTCCCTCCATTTTCTATGTGAGGTAGTATTTCATAGCATTTCGGGTATTACTGTTCTTTTTTAATGAAATTTCTTAGGTCTAAACAGATCTGAATGTCTCAACTTTGTGTGTTTGTTAATGAATAGAGAGAAATGACTAGCAACCAAAAACTTATTAGGAAAAGGCAAGGCATTTGAATATTTTCACAAATAGTTTTTGGGGCAGGTGTTATGGGCAGTGATAACAGCTAATGGTAATTCCAATACATCATTTGAAGCTCATTTAATATTCATGTTCCATCTCCCTTTTTAGTAGCAATTTGAACATCCAGTTGACACAACTGGGAAAATATTACACTTAGGATCTCTGAAAGAATTTCATAGTCTGTTTATTTCAGTAGTGTGAAATTTATAAACTTTTAGCTATTTGGATGAATGACATCTGCAATTCTAATAGAAAATACTGTGACTATAGTTGACAATACTGTACTGTATAACTGAAGTTTGCTGAGAGTGGAACTGGTATTCTCACCAAAACAAACAAAAGAACATGAAGGTGATGGATATCTTAACTAACAAGGTGGGAGATTCTTTTCATAATGTATACATATATCAAATCATCACAATGTACACTTTAAATGTCTTACAATTTTATGTCAATTATACCTCAATAAAGCTGAAATTAAAAACTTTAAAAAATGAATAAAATTTAAAGCCTTATAAATTGAGAAGGACATATTTAAAAAGCTCTTCATGAACTAGGTAAAATTTTTAGTAAGTCATGCCTGTAGGAAATGCTCTCTAAATGAACAGAACTGAACCTTTTGTGGTGACATCCATTGATGTTGCTTGGTTGAAGTATTAGTCATAAGTGGCTTTCATGAAGCTAACATTTACTCATCTTGGGTAAAGAAATCAATGAGCCTTATCTCTCCATGTGTATGCATGCTAAGCCACTTCAGTCGTGTCCAACTCTTCGCAACCCTATGGAATCTTCTGTCCATGGGATTCTCCAGGCTAGAATACTGGAGTGAGTTTCCATGCCCTCTTCCAGGGGATCTTCTTGACCCAGGGATTGAACCTGTGTCTCTTATATCTCCTGTACTGGCAGGTGGGTTTTGTTTGTTTGTTTGTTTTTAACCACTAGTGCCACCTGTATACTGTCACTCTGTTTATTTAACTTATATGCAGAGTACATCATGTGAAATGCCAAGCTGGATGAATTAAGATTGCCAGAAGAAATATCAACAAACTCAGATATGCAAATGATACCATCCTAATGGCAGAAAGCAAGGAGGAACTGAAGAACCTCTTCATGAAACCAAAAGAGGAGAGTGAAAAAGCTGGCTTAAAACTCAGTGTTCAAAAAACTAAGATCATGGCATCTGGTCCCATCACTTCATGGCAAATAGATGGGGAAAAACGGAAATAGTGACAGATTTTATTTCCTTGGGCTCCAAAATCACTGTAGATGGTGATTGACGCCATGAAATTAAAAGATGCTTGCTCCTTGGAAGAAAAGCTATGACAAACCTAGATGGTGTATTCAAAAGCAGAGACATCACTTTGCTGACAAATGTCCATACAGTCAAAGCTATGGTTTTTCCAGTAGTCATGTACAGATGTGACAGTTGGACCAGAAAGAAGGCTGAGTTGCTGAAGAATTGATGTTTTTGAACTGTGGTGTTCGAGAAGACTCGAGAGTCCCTTGGACAGCAAGGAGAGCAAGCCAGTCAATCCTAAAGGAAATCAACCCTGACTATTCATTAGAAGGACTGATGCTGAAGCTGAAGCTCCAGTACGTTGTGTGATCCTATGGATTGTAGCCTCCTAGGCTGTTCCATCCATGGGATTCTCCAGGCAAGAATACTGGAGTGGGTTGCCATGTCCTCCTCCAGGGGATCTTCCCAACCCAGGGATCGATCCAGGTCTCCTGCATTGCAGGCAGATTCTTTACCATCTGAGCCATCAGGGAAGCCATACTTTACATTTACCTACCCTGTTAGAAAATATGTATGTCCATTTATTATAATGTTACACAAGTGTGCAGTATACTATTGTATAGGTACAATATCACACAGAAGATCTTTACAACTGAAACATATCATTTAACTGAAACTTTTATGCCTATTGTTTAGTAACTCATTTACCCTCTCCTCTGCTCTTTTTAGAGCTTCCCTAGTAGCTCAGCTGGTAAAGAATTTACCTGCAATGTGGGAGACCTGGGTTCGATCCCTGGGTTGGGAAGATTCCCTGGAGGAGGGCATGGCAACTCACTCCAGTATTCTTGCCTGGAGAATCCCCATGGACAGAGGAGCCTGGTGAGCCACAGTCCATGAGGTTGCAAAGAGTTGGACAAGACTGAGCAACTAAGTACAGCACAAAGCAATATTACTGTATTTGTAATTACAATTAATTGAGAAAATTTCATTGTCAGTATTTGTCCCTATAGTCTTTGTGTAATCTAGGTTCTATTTATGTACTCTTATCTAAGAAAAGTGAGAAGGTTTTTAATATAATAATAAACATATACTATCTGCTAAAATTTGTGGGATATTGTTAATGTTTTGTAGAGAGGTGAATCTATAGCTTTAAAATTCTCATGTATGGAATGAAGAAAGACTAAAAAGAGATAAACACTCATCTAACAATGTTAGGAAAAAAAAGAATATTAAAACTGAAAAAGTAGAAATAAGACATTATATCTCACACACGTAAAAAGTAGTGAGGTGGATGAACGTAGAGCCTCTTATACAAAGTGAAGAAGTCAGAAAGAGAAAAATAAGTATCATTTATTAATGTATATATATGGAATCTAGAAAAATAGTACTGATGAACCTAGTAGAGAATGGACTTGTGGATGCAGAGGGGCAAGGTGAAGGTAAGATTAATGGAGAAGTAACATCGACATATACACTATCATGTGTAAAATAGATAGATGGTGGGAAGTTATTACATAACATAGGGAGTCTAGCCAGGTGCTCTGTGATGACCTGGAGGGGTGGGGTGAGGGGAGGGGAGGGAGGGTCAAGATGGAGGGATTTTATATATATATATAATTATGATTGATTTGTGTTGCTTTATGACAGAAGCAAACACAGTATTGTAAAACAATTTTCCACCAAATAAAAAACAGGTGATTTTATTGCATGTGAAGTTGTTTGAAAAACAAGTGAAAGTAAGAACATAAGTAAAGACATTGAAGAAGTGGAAACTAACTAAAATTAATGAAGAAAATTTGTTTAATAAGTGAATAATGAGACATGAGAAAAGCAAAGACACAAACAATGGTCACAAAGCAAATGTCAGTCACCATATATCTTACAGATGTTAAAAAGAAAAAAAAAACATTGCAAGTTATTTTAGGTAAATACATTTGAAAATCTTAAAACATAGGAAAAACAACAAAGCAAAAATACAAAAGATGATTAACAGAAGTAGACAATGGGAATTATCCTTTAAGTCATCAAGAAACAACCTATGATTTATACACTTCCTATCAGAGTTGAATCTTAGTTGATTCTATGAAATGTTTAATGAAGATATAACATGAGAGGCTCTTAGACAAGTAGGAAAAGAGAGACTACTGTCAGATTGATTTTGTGTTTAGTTTTTTAATTGAAATACACTTTTAATTTTAGACCAATTTTCTATTTATAGAAAAGCAATGCAAAGACAGTATAGGGAGCTTCTGGATACTCCTCACCCGGTTTTCCCCGTTGTTAACATCTTACATGACCCTGATGCATTTGTCACAGTTAAGTACATTGACTAAGCTCTGCTCTTATAACTTCAATAGTTTTTCTTTAACATTCTTTTCTTGTTTTAGGAGCCCACACAGGATATCACATTACCTTTAGCTGTCATGTCTCCTTGATCCTCCTCTGGTCTGTTACAGTTTCTCAGAAATTTTTTGTTTTTGATGAATTTCACAGTTTTGATGAGTACTGGTTGAATATTTTGCAGATTGCCACTCAATTTGGGTTTTTCTGATGTTTTTCTCACTGTTAGACCAGAGTTATGGGTTTTTGGGAGGAAGACAGCAAAGGTGAAGTGCCATTTTCATCACATCATATGTTCATTCTATCATGCTTTTCCCATAAAACCTACAGCATGATTTCATTCGGTTTACCCACTGTAAAGTGACTTTTTGCTCCTTTTCATTCTCTATACTTTGGAAGCAACTCACTAAAAACAGCCCATATTCAAGGGAGAGGGAGGTGAAGCTCTACCTCCTCAGGGAGGAAGTATTTACATTAATTACTTGGAATTCTTCTGTACAGAAAAATCTGTTTCTTCTCATCCATTTATTCATGGACTCATGGATGTTAACTTCTGCATTGTACTTATAATCCAATGTTATGTTATTTATTTTATTACTCAAATTGTCCCAATTTTGGTCAATTAAAACTGTTTCAAAGTGGCTCCTATGTCCCATTTACATGCCTCATCCTTCTGATTTTTATAGCATGTCCTTACTTTCTGGCACCACAAAATACTTTGGGGGCATCTTGTATACTCCGTGCTCCAGTCCTAGGACAGGAGAGAAGAGGATAACTGAGAGAACATATACCACAGATTCATGATGAATATTACAGCGGGGAAATAATATAAGAAACAAAACGGGAAAATAGTGTGGAAAGGAGTTGGAAAGGAAATTTTTTGTGTTCAGTTCAGTTCAGTCGCTCAGTCGTGTCCAACTCTTTGTGACCCCGTGAACTGCAGCACGCCAGGCTTCCCCATCCATCACCAACTGCCAGAGTCTACCCAAACCCATGTCCATCGAGTCGGTGATGCCATCCAACTATCTCATCCTCTGTTGTCCCCTTCTCTTCCTGCCTTCAGTCTTTCCCATCATCAGGGTCTTTTCCAATGAGTCAGCTCTTCGCATCAGGTGGCCAATGTATTGGAGTTTCACATCAACATCAGTCCTTCCAATGAACACCCAGGACTGATCTCCTTTAGGATGGACTGGTTGGATCTCCTTGCAGTCCAAGGGACTCTCAAGAGTCTTCTCCAACACCACGGTTCAAAAGCATCAATTCTTCAGTGCTCAGCTTTCTTTATAGTCCAACTCTCACATCCATACATGACTACTCATGTTAATCTTATCCAAAATGTGTATCTTTAAGAATTAGGTGGAATGTATAAATGAATTGTCATTATGTCATTTTGCATATCAAGACATCGGTAAGGTCTCATACAATAGTGCAATTCAGACCAGTTCCTAGGTCCTTTACATTTCCTCCGAACTCGTAAGGGCCCCCAGTCACAGAAAGGATGCATTACTAGTGGTAACACATTAAACAATGACAACAGCAAAGAAAATATAAACTTTAGTCTTATAGTTATATACTTGTGTCTGTCTCTTCTTTATGTAGTGAGCTTCATAATAGTGGAAACTTACTCATTTCCATCTTCCTAGTTCATTGCTTTTACACACTAGAGAAACTAGACTTACCCATAGTTCAACTTTGGGTACTCTATTCTTAAACCAAACAAAGTGCACGCATATTCTCCTAAAATGTCCTGTCCTTTCTAATTTCCTTCTATTTGTTGATTTCATTTTGTTCACTCAAATTATCTTCTTTACTAATACTCAGATGTTGAAATCCTACATATTTCACAAGGCACCACTTTAATCCTAAATTCACTCACAAATTCTCTTGAATCCTCAGCTTCATATTTCTTCTCCTGAATTACATGTTCACCTGTCTCCTTCCAGTCTTCCATGTTGTAGACTTTTTAGTGTATTGATTATATCCCCCTTTCAAGGGTAAGTTCTCTGTTGTCCTTATCAATTCATAATTTGATATATTATTGAGTTTTTAATCCCTGGTTAAAGAACAATGAGTCAGAAAACTGGCAATGAGCTTTATTAGACTATTCTTTAAGATCATTATGGGGATCTAGGGACAAGAAAGGAGAGGATGTGGACTACTTCATCTTAGATCAATGAAATAGGTTGAGAAATGAACAGAAAATTGTGTTTGATTTATGTAGGCTTTCTGTGGACGTGTGTAGAATTCTGTTCAACGAAATAATCTTGAGGCAAAGTGAGTGCTACTGTCACTGGCTTTGGACGAGGTGGTTTGGTAATTTTTTTACGTTCTTCTAGTTCCACAATACTGAGGCAACAATATCTTCCATTTTCACATAGTACTTCACGTACTTCTGTTTTTCTGCATATTTTCCTGCAGTATCCATGTATATATTGATTCCAGCATCTCTTAAGTTGTTCGGTTACTGTGCACGTAAAGAACAATAGGCCAAGGTCAGAATTTGAGACAAAAGACAATTTTGGTTATGGGGAAGACAGGGGATGTTTGTAAGGATAAGGTATATGGGAGACTCACAGAGCATATATCAGTAACGTCCCACAGGTATTACCCTCCAAGAGGGTGAACCTCAATGTTTATGTCTAGCCGATCACTCATATTTTGTTCCTCTAGAGTGCTGGGCTTCCACCCAACATCTGATGGACTTCACCAAGAGCAGTGGGTCTTATTTACGGAAATAAAGAAGTCGAATCCTTGAGTTCAGGCTATGGAACTATGCTATGCTCCATCTGAGAACCTCAGTAAACCTGCCTCTATTTGAATGCTTCTAAGGTACTACTTCCTGGAGGAGGAAATGGCAACCCACTTCCATATGCTTGCCTGGAGAATCCCATGGACAGAGGAACCTGGCAAGCTACAGTCCATAGAGTCGCAAAGAGTCTGACACTACTGAAGTGACTTAACATTAACATAACAGTGTACCACTTCTTTACCACTGCTCAGAATACAATAATTTGTTACTGTGTATTTATGTCTGACTTAGACTCTGCTCTTGGGTTCATACTTGATACAATGATAAAGAATGACTTTTTTTTTGGTACAGTAAGATGTTTTCCCCCCTCAACATTCTTCCTCCCCTGTTGCTTCTTAGTATTGTACATTTGTATCAGTGCACATCTTCCTTTGGCTTCTATGTCATCATAATAATTTTAGATTTGTTTTATTCCTCCATGACTCCCCATTCTCTTTCTATTTCCAGAGGAAGGAATTCCTCCAGACCTTTGCTCACCATGATATGTCTTGCATCCTTCAGTGATCCTAAATATTTTCAATAATCTAAGAGTTTAGGATGTTCATATTTTGGCTTTAAGGCTTGTACTATCCTCTGGGTACTAGCCCCAGAGGATGAAGGCTGAGAACAAAGATGCTGCCTCCAACACCAGGTTCCAGAGTTCCTTTGACTGTTAGAAGTTTAAGGGGCTAGAAGTAGGCCATTTTTACTCTATAATAACAAGCAAATACAAGAGATCTGGTTGTGAAAGAGGAAAGGAAGCTAATTTTTAAATTCTTAGTATGTGCCAAGCCTTATGCTGGATGTTTTTATCACTTAATAAATTCCCCATGAACCAAAGGGCTTCTCTGGTAACTCAGTCGGTAAAGACCCTGCCTGCAATGCAGGAGACCTGAGTTTGATCCCTGGGTCAGGGAGATCTCCCAGAGGAGGAAATGGCAACCTACTCTAGTATTCTTGCCTGGAGAATCCCAAGGACAGAAGAGCCTGGTGGGCTATAGTCCATGGTGGTCTGAGCGACCAAACCTACCTACCATGATCGAGGTGTCATTATCTCCACAAATGGGGAAACTAAGGTTCTGTGAGTCTTCACCTTTTATCCAAAGTTGATAAAGTAGTAGATGTTGAAGGCATGTTTCTTAAGACTGAATCCAAAGTTTCTTCTTTCACTATTCACACATATAATATTGATAGTATTATAGTATATAATATAGTATATAGTATAATATTAATAGATTAAAATATATATATACAGTACCAGAGTGGAAGAAAATAAGGCTGGGTGCTAGAGTAAAAACTGTATCCAAAGAAATAAGGGTATTCCCAGTTATTGCTCTTATGTCTTTCTGTAGTGAGTCTTTCTCAGAGGAAATTATGACCTCTTTTTAGCTCTATGAATACTCCTTTTAAGAATACTACCATAGTAGAAGCACTCAGGAAGAGGGAATTTTTGATGACATTTGAGAGACTTCAGCCATTCCTAGGGCCTTATCTTTTCCTACTGTGAGCTATAAAATTCCCTTGAGTTCTTGAAAGTACTCTATCCATTATTGATTTGAGTGAACCCCTGGAAAGCAGCTACACTCACCACTATACCATCAATGTGGTTTGAGTGAGCCCCTGAAAATCTCTGGATTACCTGTGAACTTCTGGAACAGAAGAATTGCAATGATCAGGAGGATCCTCATGGCCAACCTTCCCAGAGGAGGTGACAACCAGGTCTCTTGGTCCACTATGTCACCTCCCTCAGAGCCTTAATTCTTATGCAATGAACCAGAACAGATGGTATGATATGAAGTATGCCCCCAAATTTCTGAATTGCGGATTTTGCAACATGTGGGCAGACACAGGAAATTTGGTTACTCACTTAACCCACATATGGGATTCAGAGACACAGTGTGTTCCATCTCATCACACCTGATGCCATTCTGTAGGCTGTAGACTGCTGGTGAGAAAAGTCTGTGCTTTTTCTACTTTGGCTGTCTGCCTAGATAGACAGGTAGAACTATACTTACTTCTAAGAATGAATAAGGACATAAAATAAATGAAGCCTATTCTGTTGACTGACTGCATTCATCTAAGTCTAAGTCTCTAACTATTGTGTCTAACACTTTAGCCAGTCCAAATGGTAGCCAGTTTTTATTCCTATATCCTAGCTAAATTTAGTTACTCACAGACAAGCAATATGGGCTTCCTAGGTGGTTCAATGACAAAGAATCCACCTGCCAATGCCGTGCAGGAGATGCAGGTTTGATCCCTGGGTCAAGTAGATCCCCTGGAGCAGGAAATGGCAACCCATTGCAGTAATCTTGCCTGTTCTATCTTCTGGGAAGACTTCCCTGTCCATTGATCTCTATGGAGGTATCTTGGAGGAGGTTGGGAGAGAATTCTTCTGGGGATTGTTCTACTTTAACAACACATTTCTTATTAATGCAGGTTTAGGAAACAATGTTAAAAAAGCAGAGACATTACTTTGCCAACAAAGGTCCGTCTGGTCAAGGCTATGGTTTTTCCAGTGGTCATGTATGGATGTGAGAGTTGGACTGTGAAGAAAGCTGAGCACCGAAAAATTGATGCTTTTGAACTGTGGTGTTGGAGAAGACTCTTGAGAGTCACTTGGACTGCAAGGAGATCCAACCAGTCCATCCTAAAGGAGATCAGTCCTGGGTGTTCATTGGAAGGACTGATGCTGAAGCTGAAACTCCAATGATGCAAAGCTGAAACTCCACCTGATGAGAAGAGCTGACTCATTGGAAAAGACCCTGATGCTGGGAAAGATTGAGGGCAGGAGGAGAAGGGGACGACAGAGGATGAGATGGCTGGATGGCATCACCGACTCGATGGGCATGAGTTTGAGTAAACTCTGGGAGTTGGTGATGGACAAGGAGACCTGGCGTGCTGCAGTTTATGGGGTCACAAAGAGTCGGACACGACTGAGTGACTGAACTGAACTGAACTGAACTAAGGAAACTATGTGAATGATTTTGTTATTCAGGCTTTGACTTCTATGACATTATAACTCTTCGGAAAGATTAGCACAAAGTTAACAGACTTTCCTTTCAATTGCTTTCAGTCATTTTCATGTCTAAGACCAACTCAGAAATCTTTTTGAATAATGGCAGCTCATTTTAGATCCCAACCAGGACACTAATATCATCTATAGAATAAGCTTTTTGAGATTATACTATCTCTACCACCCCTAACAATCTCTCATTCAGGCTCTGTCTGTGAGCAGATACAATATAATAGCTTCTGGACAGTGTAGATGAACTAGCTGAGATTGATTATCATTAATTTAAGTAGTATCAACACATTCTTCTGTGTAATACCCTCAGCAACAATTGTCTATCTAAACACAGAAATGTACACAACAGATAGTTGGGTCAATACAGGTTTGTAGTATGCCAAAGGACTCAAACAACTAAAAGAAGAGGAACTCTTTATTAGCTAAAGAGTTATTGAAGTAAATAATGGACTCTATTCTAGATAGGGAGAGAATATAAAGAGGGAGGGGCTGAAAAATGATCTTTGAGATTTGAAGGTGAAAGAGATTATTTATGTTAATAAAATATATTGCCTCTACAATGGAGAGAACATTCTATATCTAACTTGCTTTGTCTTCTTCACCAACTTTTTGATTAGAAAACTCATATCTCTTTGTCCCACAGGTAACATTATATGAGCATCTTAGAAAAAATGATGTCTCTTTACTCTCACTTCAATAATGTATGTGTGTGCTTGCATGTGTACATGTACATATGTATGTGTACATCTATTCTAGTCCCTACTGCCAGACAGTCTATGCACCTGGAAAATCTCCTAGATCGATCCCATAAAGTAGGCAGTAGTTGTTCCCATGAGTGAGGCGGAGGAATGAAGAACATGACGATTCTTAAAGAGGAAGACATCACTAATCAGTACTAAATCTAAAGACCTTAAAGTCCACTGGGGGTTTTAAAAGTACAGATTGTTTCAATGTACTACTTTAAAAAGGACATGAGTGTAATAAATTTCTGGATAACTCATCCACCAAGCTTTACTGAGTTAGGAGTTAAGAGAGCACATTTGACTGTTTAAGTGGGTCAGCCAGGAGGCATGTTTGAAGGTTTTATTTTATTTTTCTTGTTATGTCAATTAAAATAGTATTTAAAGATAGTTTTATTGTGTAACATACATTATTAGCAAGAATCTGGAAATATAAAGACAAAGAGAAGAAAGAAAACAACTAGCACCATTACTACTATCTCAAGGAAACACCTGGGAATATACTGTATATCATTCTAAATTTTTCTTTAGTTGAACTAAAATTGCTTTATTGTTTAACCTAAATATCAGTTTATGGGGTTTTCCTTTTTAATAGGAAAGATACAATAAAACTGTCTCAAACTTCCACCAATTGCCTGACTTTTGAAAGCCTCTGCTAGTTTCAGACCTCTGCTCGTTCCAGAGATGTTTACTTTATCAGGGATACACTGGCCTTCAGAATTCTCTGTCTTCCTGTTAACTCTGACCTGCACTATATCCACCCTCCTTGCTGTAAACCTCTTTAACTTCTAGCAAAAATAAAATCACACATACTAAGCAGTTTGGAATTTAGCAGAATTTATACAAGACTCTGAGAAGAAGAGCTACTGAGAAGGTAATTACTTGGCAGTAACATCAATAACTTTCTTTCTTTTTTTTTTTTAACATCAATAACTTTCTATAGGATGGAAGACATCATTGAATTTCTTGTTTTTTTAACCTGACAACTTTATTGTTATTTTTTAATTAAAAAATTTTATGAAGCTCGCTCTTTCTTTCCTTTCTTCCTTCCTCTCTCTCTTCCTCCCTCCCTCCTTCTTTGCTTCCTTACTTCTTACTGAAGTATAGTCTATTACAGGATTATATTAGTTTCAGGTGTTCAACAGCTCAAAAAAATTTTGAGATTTTTATACAATAAAAAATGATCACTGTGATAATTTTCCTTACCATTTGTCACCAAAGTTATCACCATACTATTCCCTAGAATGTACATTGCATCACTTATTTATTTTATAACAGAAAGTTTGTACCTCTTATTCTCCCTCATCAATTTCTCTAGTCCCCCCAAACCTCTCCCCTTTGGGAATTCGTTTTCTGTATCTGAGTCTGTTTCTGTTCCAACTGTTCATTTGTTTTGCTTTTTAGATTCCACATATGAGTGAAATAATATGTCTTTCTCTGATTCTTTATTATGACTGAGCAATATTCCTTTGCCTAGATATGCCACATCTTCTTTATCCATCCATTTATTGATGAATACTTATGTTGCTTCCATATCTTGGCTATTGTAAGTAATATTGCAAATAATGCTATAAATAACAAACTTGGGGTGCATATATGTTTTCAAACTAGTGGATGTTTTTCCTTTTAAAAATGCCCAGAAGTGGAATTGCTGGATTGTATGGTAGTTCTGTTTTTAATTTTTTGAGAGATCTCCCATACTGTTTTTTGTAGTGGTTACACCAGTTTACATTCTCACCAACAGTGTACAAGGGTTCCCTTTTCTCCATATCTTGACCAATTCTTGTTATTTTTTGTCTGTTTGGTAATCTTTCTGACATCTGGTATCTCATTGTGGGTTTTTTTTTAAGATTAAAAAATTATTTAATTGGAGGCTAATTACTTTACAATATTGTGGTGGTTTTTGCCATATGTTGACATGAATCAGCCATGGGTGTACATGTGTCTCCCTGTACCGAACCCCACTCCCACCTCCCTCCCCATCCGATCCCTCTGGGTTGCTCATTGTGGTTTTGATCTGCAATTTCCTGATGTTCTGAAGTTGAATATCTTTTCTTGTGTCTATTTGTCATCTGTACATTTTCTTCAGAAAAATGTCTATTTAGGTCCCCTGCCCCTTTTAAAATCAGGTTATTAGATTTTTTTGTTGTTGAGTTGTATGACTTCTTTATATATTTTGAATATTAATCATATTAGATACATGATTTGCAAATATCTTCTCCCACTGGGTAGACTGTCTTTTCATTTTGTTACAGTTTGCTGTGTAGGAGTTTTTCAGTTTGATGTAATCTCATCTGTTTATTTTTGCTTTTGTTTCTCTTGCCTGATGAGACATATCCAGAAAGTACTGCCAAGACCAACATCAAAGAAAGTACTGCCTATATTTTCCTATGATCCAGGCTTTTCCCTGGACACCCTCAGCTGTGTCATACTAGCCCCCTCAGAGTAATTTCATAGCAGTCAATCTTGGTCCTCCCCCTGGGGTCCAGCCTCCAAAGCCTGAGTTTTAGAGTTTTAGGTTTTACATTCAAGTCTTCAATCCATTTTGAGTACATCTTTAAAATATGGTGTGTGATAGTGTTTCTACAGTTTACAATTTTTCTCATATGACTGTCCAGTTTTCCCAATATCAGTTGTTGAAGACACTATTCTTTCTCCATTGTATGTTCTATGCTCCTTTGTCATAAATAAATTGTCCATATATTCATGTGTTTATTCCTGGGATATCAACTCTTCCATTGATTTATGTATCTATTTTTTTTCTGCCAATACTGTGTTGTTTTGATTATTAGAGCTTTGTAACATAGGAGTTTTAAAACAGGGAGTGGGATACCTTCAGCTTTGTTCTTTTTTTTTCAAGATTGCTTTGGCTGGCATATACATTTTAGAATTTTTCATCTGTTTTTGTGAAAAATGTCCTTGGGATTTTGTTAGGGTTTGCAGTGAATCTGTAGATTGCTTTGGTTACTGTGGACATTTTAATAAGGCTAACTCTTACAACCCATAAACATGGGATATATTGACTGTGTGGTTCTCACTCCATTCAGACTGCGAGAATTCACTTAGGGTGCTTGTGAAGGCAGGGTCCTATGTTCTGCAAGCACTCAGAGTTACAGTGTTCCTGGCACAATGATCTCTTGCCTTTCTGGCGGACCCAGACTTTTCCCTGGACTCTCTCAGCTGTGTCATACTAGCCCCCTCAGGGTATCTTCATAGCAGTCAATTTCAGTCCTCTCCCTGGGGTCCAACCCCTGAAGCCTGAGCCTCAGCAGCCAGCCTCTACTTGCTGCGAAGAGCTTGCAAGCCACTTCTTGGCTGGGAAGTGCTGTTGGGCATCGATCCCTGCGGTGAATTCTCTCCACTTTACCATCTGATCACCTGTTGCTGCCTTTCCCACTGAAGCTCTGAAGCTCCCCTCTGAGGCTCTGAGGCTCCCCCCTGACCCTGCCCATGATCCGCGTTTGCTCCCTCCTTGGGGCACAGGTCCTTGTCTTGAAATGCTTTGTCTCTTTTTAAGCTCTTTCTCTTCTGCCCTACCTCATTCTGAGGAGACTGGCTTGCCTTTTTGGAAATCTGGGGTCTTCTGGCAGTGTTCTGAAGATGTTCTAAAGGAGCTGTTCCACAGTGCGGATGGGTTTTTGATGTATTTGTTGTCGGGGTGGGGGAGGTGATCTCCCTGTCTTATTCCTCTGCTATCTTGAAGGTCTTTCCCATTGTATAACTTTCTATAATATATTTCACAAATACAAATAACCTATAGGGTTTTTTTTCTGCATTAAGTCTTTTTTGCCACATGTATGCTTCTCTAGTTAAGGCACATGGGCTTAGTAGTTGGGGTGTGTGGGCTTAGTTGCCCCCAGGCCTGTGGGATCTTAATTCTCCAACCAGGGGTCAAACCCACTTCCCCTGCCTTCTGCAGAGATCATACTTGAGAACTATGTGGCTATGCAGAATTTCAAGGTAAACCTTTGAGGGTATCTTCAGAATTGGAAAGAAATGGCTTAGAGATGTTGTAGTCTTGAAAGCAGGCAGAGATGCCTTCAATATGTGATTGTGTTTGTGAAGATTTTCTTCCTCCATGAATCTCAGACTTTTCATATTTTAAATGGGAATAATATATCTCACTAGTATAAGTCTTACAGTTCCACAGGTGCAAGAGACCATGGTGTTCTATATGTCTTAACTATTTTAGTTTTCAGAGTGATTTTAGGATAGGTGTAGGATTATACCTGTATTACCAGTCAAAAAACTGAGGCAGGTGACACGTGATGAGTAAAAGCAATGTGAGCAAACCTAGATATAACCCTAGATATATTTTATTCCAGTTTATTCAGCTTTAATCATGTTATCATAATTATTATAAAATGCTTTTGTTTAATGAGACTGTATATCAACATGCTTGGCATGTTTTGAGTTCTCATACCATGAAGATGCCTTTTCTCCCTCATACCCTAAAGCAGCTAAAGATTATTTACCACTTTATTTCAAGCATGAGATGAAGAGGGAATGGACTGAAGGCATGAGACAGGAGTTTCGTGTTGCAGCTCTAAGATTATATTCCCCATCTGTAATCTCAGTGGTCACAGCTTTATGAGGTTGTCAAGGTAGCGATCAAGGTGATTATTGAGGAGAAAGCACAGGGAGTTCTACCACAAGCCTTTAAACCCCACCTGGCTGTTCAAAGAGATTCTATGAGCCTAAATTCTGTCACACTCTTCTCTGCATAGTAATGAACTTTCCCCCCAGGTGAAACATGGCTTATAACCCATAACCACACAGAGTAGCCAAGGTCCAGTGGGCAGGGCCCTCAGGCAACATGCCTTTCTGTTCACCCAGGCATCAGCAACCTGCTACAGCTGTCCATATAATGTGAGTAAATTTGAAGATACTATTCTAGCCACCTTCAAAGTACTCTGAGGAGGAGTAAATGTTTCTCTGTTCTTCAAGTTTGTAAACTGAGGCTCAAAGATGGAAAATCATTTGTCCATAGTCCAAGACTGAATACACTCATGGTGGGAACATGAAAGACCTCAATATATGTCTGACCATAAAAGTCATTATTTTTTCTACTATCCTTCTCTGCTACAATGATCTGCCTCTGTCCTCCTACTTTCCAAAGTGAGTTCAAGACTTCTAGCTACAGTGATAGCCGTGAGTATATAAGACCATGATGTTCTACTAGTTGGGACAATTCATCTCTCAAATATTTTTTACTAGATAATGACATATCATAGATTTATCTCTTGAAGGAGGCAGAGGCCTGTTTCCTGGTGATGAGAATAAATGAAGGTGGTGTTTCATTCTGATTACCTTCTCTGACTTGTCTGTGCAGAACTCTTATGGGAAAAGTCCTATGGCTAAATACAAGTGCCTATCCCAGTATTTAAGTTACAGTACAGAGCTCTTGATCTCCCTTCTATCCTAAGTTGGCAATTTATGTGAATGTAGATTTTCAGGGAGAGAAGAGAATTGCATAATATCAAAGTTCTCTTAGTAGACAATTGAGTCTGTCTCAGTTGTAAGAGCTACAAATCAGTATTTTTTTTTTCTCTTAAGTGAGGTCACAATACCTACATCCCAAAAATGTTGTGGGAAATCCAATTAGAAAATAAATAGGAAAGCACTCTATAGAAATGATTTTGTATGATTAACCACTTCAAAAGTATGTAGCAAATGCCTTCAATCTGTAGGAGAAGGCCTTCAGTTGTTCCATATTACAGAACAGTGGTTTTCAAAGTGTGGTCCTTTGGCCACCAACATCAGCATCACCTGGGAACTTGTGAGTAGTGCTAAGTCTCAGGCTCCATCACAGGATTAGAAACTGGGAGTGAGAATCATAAATTTGTGTTTCAGCATGCCCTACAGATATTTCTGATGCCTTTTAAAGTTTGATAATTACTGGTAAGGCAGCTTGTGGGCCTATGGGCTGGGATCTGTTTTCAAGGATGACACCATTTCTGTCCATCAGTCAGACAGAATGAGGGTTTTATACTAATTTGTGCCTGGCTTCTATCTTATTTTCATCCCTACCATGGAATTGTTGGCACTACAGAGATGTGACGCCCTTCCAAACAGGGCTGAGCTCAGGGGTAGTGGAAGGCAGGTATAGTGAAAAGACTGACACCAAAATAAGGCCCTTTGCTTTAATAAATCAAGGATCCTAGGTCAGGAGACAGAGGCTAAAATGTTCAAAGACTGCCTGTTATAGATCCTCCTGTAGCTGCAGATGTCCTACTACTACCACCACTGGGAGTGGGTTTCATCAAATGCTCAGAACAGCCATTATCCAGAACACAGCATGATTTTTCTTTGCTGCACTTCCCGGTAGGAGGGTTTATCACTTTCTCTCCATTTCTGCATGTGCTCCTGCAATTTCCAGTTTTGTTTGCACACTTTCTCACATACCAATTACCTGCATAAAGGAATTATATAGATTGTTTAAGCCAGAGATCTATCACAAAAAGATTAAAATAACAATCAATTCAGTTCAGTTCACTCGCTCAGTCGTGTCTGACTTCGTGACCCTATGGACTGTAGCTCGTCAGGCTTCCCTGTCCTTCATCATCTCCTGGAGCTTGCTCAAACTCATGTCCATCGAGTTGGTGATGCTATCCAACCAACTCATCCTCTGTTGCCTCCTTCTCTTCCTGCCTTCAGTCTTTCCCATCATCAGGGTCTTTTCCAAAGAGTCAGTTCTTTGCATCAGGTGGACAAAGTATTGGAGCTTCAGCTTCAGCATAAGTCCTTCCAATGAATATTCAGGACTGATTTCCTTTAGGATTGACTGGTTTGATCTCCTTGCAGTCCAAGAGACTCTCAAGAGTCTTCTCCAACACCACAGTTTGAAAGCATAGTTCTTTGAACTTTGATTACTCAAGTCCCTTAAGTTGTTTTGTTATATTTTTCCAAATCATAAAGTCCTGCTCTGAGATTTACATGGGATTTTATAAATATGTATATGTAGAGTTTTAAATATGTAAATTATGAGCCTTTAAGAGATAAAATTCTGCATATAAACACTCACCAAGTGTCTATTTCCCATTATTTTAAATGGAAAATATATAACACATGATTACTCATGAATACAAAACCTCTAACCAGTTTCATAAGATATACCTAAACACACATAAACACCTAAATAGAAGTAAAAAAAACTACAATTTTAAAATAAGAAATGCTCAGATTATTGCTGTAATGTTTCTATTTACTACCCTAATGTACCTGGATTTTGTTGATGTTCGGTGAGATTTTAAAAATATCTTTACATGTTTCTGAGGTCCTACAAACTGTATATGAAATATAACTCTAGATTTGCCTTATATATTGTCTTCTTAAATATAAATATAAAAATTTTGCATATATCTATGTATATAGACATCTATATATCTATATAATATTAAGATGTAAATATACTCTGAAAATTTTTGGGAATAAAAAACCAAATATATTCATTAGGAAGGCATTCTGTAGGATGTTCCTGTATATTTGTACACATTATATACATATATAAAAATTATCTCATCACAAGGTATAACACAGAGAAAGCCCTGAAGAGATAGTTGAATCATTTCTTTCCTTACTTTATAAATTAGTTGTCATTCCTATACTCAACCAACAAATATATAATGCATGCCTAAGTCTTCCCTGGTGGCTGGTAAAGAATTCACTTGCAATGCAGAAGACCTGGGTTTGATCCCTGGATTGGGAAGATTCCCCTGGAGAAGGAAAAGCCTATCCACTCCAGTATTCTGCCCTGGATAATTCCATGGACCGTATAGTCCATGGGCTCACAAAGAGTCAGACACAACTGAGTGACTTTCCTTTTCACCTTCACCATGTCAAGAACTTGGCAAGATGATGAGAATAAAATAATGAACAGGGAGACAAGGTCAAGAAGATTATATTAGAGAGGGTGAGAAAGAAAATAAATAAGCACATTAATAAACAAAATAACTACAGATTGTGATAAGTGCAGCAAATGAAAACAATAATGCTGTGTAATAGAGGGTAAATGAATAGAGTAATCATTTTTGAGTGCTACTGCTGATACCATTATCTCTTAACTGCTGCTTCATCTTCCTCTGAGAATTAAATGAGATTCTCATGCATGATATTTACATACATACATTTATATCCATAGACATACAGATGCATGCATGGGCCTCTGATGCCTAAAATCAGAATTCTATGTACAGTCACTAAGGAAACTATACCTTCAAGAAATGACATTTCAAACCCAGATGTAAAGGATCAAAAGTTTCCAGCTATATGAAGAGCTAGAGGAAGAGTATTTAAAGCAGAAGAAGAAATAACAAATGTGAAAGCCATGAGCCAGGTAAGAACTTGATATTTCTGAGAAACAGAAAGATTGCTTGATTTCTTTTGTTTTCATGGTTTTTCTTACTGTCTCCTCTTTTTATCTTTTGTCTTCTGCAGTGTCTCTCCATAATAGTCCTTGGCCTTGAGCTTCCTCTCTAGTCATTCCCTCTGTGATTCCCTTCTGTCTCACTCTCCCAAACATCTCCATGGAAATGTTTTTCTTTAGCTTCCTTCAGCTAGGACTTGTGGATGGACACCTCTGAACAAGTCTCCTTCCTTTCCATCCTGATTTTCTTTGGGCCCTGATGTTTGTTGACTTTTCTTCCAAACATCCTAAGAGTTGCCTTTCCAATGCCTTCAGATTTTGGATTAGACTTGCATACTTTTACAGAATAATCCTGAATTGTTGTGTTTGTCTGTTAACAGAAAGGGAACTGAGGAATTCTCTTAGGGCTGTTTGTTTAGAAAGAGGACACCGTGCGACCATGTATTGTACATAATTAAAATCCCAGAGACAGAGGGAGAAAGCATGCAATCTAAACCCAGAATTTCAAGGATTCCATAAATCTGAACCATCTTCTGAGAAACCCTTAATTTTCTCTTATCTGTCATCAGTTTGAATAGTTTGGCAAAAATCTAGAGGACATAAACCACTATCTCTAGAGGCAGGCTGTAGAGTTATACAACTTTCTACCTTCTAGTAAATTCTACCTCAAAAAAGTTAGTTTCTCACTTTATGTCATAATTAAAATGTGGGGTTGAGTCCAGTGTAAAACACAGAATAAAAAACCAATGGTGGAAGTTATTTTGTGTTTCTTTGCAGTTAATCCTTTTTTAGGGCCCTGGCAACCACTGGTTTGCTTCTGTCACTATAGTTTTGCCTTTCCTAAAATTTCATATAAATAGACCACCTGTAGACTTCCCTGGTGGCTCAGATGGTAAAGAATCTGCTTGCAATGCAGGAGACCTGGGTTCCCTGGGTTGGGAAGATCCCGTGGAGAAGGAAATGGCAACCCACTAAAATAGTCTTGCCTGGGAAATCCCCCACCCGCCCCCCAAAAAAAACACCAGTGGTGGAGCTTCCTTGGTGGTCTAGCAGTTAAGAATCTGCTGGTTCCATCCCTGGTTCAGGAAGATCCCACATGTCATGGAGCAAGGAAGCCTGTGTACCACAACTGCTGAGCCAGTGCTCTAGAGCCTGCGGGCCGCAACCAGTGAGCCCACGCACTGCGACTCCTGAAACCTGAGTGCCTAGAGCCTGTGCTCGGCAACAAGAGAAGCTACTGCAATGAGAAGCCCACACAGAGCAGGAAAGAGCAGCCCCCCGCTTGCCACAATGAGAGCAAGCCCACAGCAGCAACAATAGACCCGCCACAGTCAAAATAATAATAATAACTAAATAAGTAAATCTCAAAAAAACAGCAGTAAACACGAGTGAATAAACTCTTCTCAACATGAAGGAGAGGAGAATTCTAAGGTAATAGGAGAATGCAAAAAAGTGCCAGAAGATTCAACAACATGAAAATAAAAAACTTGTTCCTTAAAGAAATCAATAAAAATTTTTTTAGAAATAATCAGTATATTGCTAAATATTTGGAAGAAATATGAAATAGAAATACTGAAAATACTCATACACTAGTAAGACTTGGAAATACATGCTAGTTTCCTAGGATTCATTTAGATACCTTTTGATCAAGCAATGGAACTTCTAAAATTTACCCATATAACCAGAGAATCTCACAATGATATATTAACAACATCATCTATAATAGTGACACATTGGAAAAAAATAATCCAAATGACAAACAATAATGGATTCTCCAAGTCAATATTGGTACAGAAAAATGATAAAATAATAGGCTTCTACTACCAGTTGTACTTCGAAGAAATATTTAAAAATCTGTGAAAATTTCCCTGATAAAACATTAAGTTAAAAAAGGGCAGGTTCTAAACTTACACATCAGTTGGTCCCAATTTTTAAAATATAAACAATGAAGAAATGGTGGCATTTATTTCTAAAATGCCTTCAGTGTTCTTAATTTTGTAAATATAAACTCTAGAACTTAACAAGAAGGAATGTTTACACAAATAGAACTAAAATCAGACATACAATTTCCAACAGTCTTGAATTCTTTCCCCATGTTCACTCAGAATATTTTTTTTCCCTTTTCCACATTATATTCCTATAGATATTTAGGAGTAAACTTCCCTGTTCTAATCAAATCCAAGAACAAAAAGAAAAAAAAGAGAGAGAGAGAGAAATCTTCTTTATAAGACCAAGAAAATTGAGAGAAGTAATATTATAGAATTTTAACTTTGGGAGGCTGTCATACAAAATGAAGTGAGACAGGGCTGGACCGAGCTGGCCTTAAGTGATAGAATAAAGGGAAGTTTGGAATGTTAGTCTTTGGAGGCAACTTTACAGGTTTCATTCTTCCCTCCTTCAGCTTCCATTACAGTCACTGTTCTATCATGAGAGTCTTGAGGTCTCTTATAATAGGTGTTCTGTAGAAGTAAGGCAAATCTCAGCCCACCTCCCCCTTTCAGTGGAAGGCCTGCCTCACTCCCATGCATGTTTGGTAATAGGGACTCCACATGCAGGACCCTAGTTCAGACTAACATTTCTACTTCCCCAAGATTCAAACAGAATCTCTTTTACCTGAGACCAACTGGACCAGAAGGATAAAGAGTGTAAGCGTGAACAATAGAGACTTCATTGCTTCCGAAAGACAGTAGGCAGTGGGTGCTACGGAATCCAGAACACTCTATATAGTGTGACTCTGAACACAGGTCTTAATTGTCCTCCCCAGGTGGAGTTGGGCTCAACCAGTGTACCAGAAGGATATAGGATATTGTGCCAAACATAACCTCAGTCCATTGGCCAGCAGCTGTAATTGAGGCATCACTATTCAAGAGTCCTGTGTCAGGCATGCCTTGGGGGAAAGAGAAAGACTTAGAAGAGAAGGCGCACTCCCTGCTGAAATGTGTGACAGGAAAGAAAGATACTTAGAGGAAGAATTTATGTGGATACCCTAAGGCTGGGTACCCCTATCTGCTTTTTATTTTTTTACAGTCTCCTGTGTTGTTTCTGCCAGAGTATTTACCTTAGCACACTGTGACAATCTCATCATCTGTCTCTCTCCCCAAAATGCAATGTATTTTTGAACACTGACTACATATTATTATTTCCTATATATTAGTTCTGGGCAATAGAGAAGTATCTAAGTCATTCTCTGAGAAATGAAAAAATTGATGTTTTGTTGATAATCTGGCAATTTATAAAGTGTTTTATTTATTTATTTATTTTTAAAGTGTTCTATTTTTTAAAGAAATAAACAATACTCAAAGATTATATGCTAAGATTTCTTTAGATCCCCACTTGGGTCTAGCGACAGAGCATCATAAATTGAAGTGCATCCATATGATATAATGCTGTGTATGTCTTAACACAAGTGCAGCAGGTTTTATCTCTATATATTTCTGGATGAAAAAGCAATATTGTACAACATGCATAGTCATGATTCAATTTATGTGAAAAAGTTATGTGAAAAAATTTATGTGAAAAAGTATCCGTTGTATTAGTAAATGCTTTAACTAGAGTGCAAAGCAGATATTCTAATAATAGTTGTTTTCTGACTGAGTTTAAGGCAGGCATTCAAAGAGGATTTTATTTGTGTTAGAATTTTTTTAGGAGCAGGGGTTGTCCAGTGGATTGTGACTGGAAGACATAAAGTCCTAGAGATTTTATTCTTATTGTGGTTTTTATTTTTCCTTTTAAAAATTACTGAGATATAATTGGTGTACATTGAACTGAATTATTTAAGGTGTACAGTTTGATGAGTTTAACAAATTATGCACTCTTAAATCAACACCAGAATCAACATAATACGTACACTCATCCTAAAAAGTTTCATTATGTCCCTTAGATATTCACCCCTTCCTCTACCTATTTCTCCTCTCAGCTCCATGACACCTAGTCCCCTCTGATGTACTCTCTGTCTTTATAGCTTTGTTTACATTTTCTAGACTATTATATAAATGAAGTCATACAGTACGCATCTTTTCGTGCCTGGATTCTTTCATCCAAGGTAATCTTTTTGAGATTCATTCTCACCATTGTGTGTATCAATAGCTCTTTCCTTTTTATTGTTAATATTCCTTTTTATAGCAATTTTATAACAATCTGTTTGCCATCTCTTAGTGGACATTTTGATTGTTTCCAGCTACTAACTGTTGCAAATAAAGCTACTATTGATCATTTTTGTGCAAGTCATTCAGTGGACAAGTGCTTTTATTACTTTTTGGTAAATACCTAGACGTGGAATGACTGACTCACTGGGTAGGTACATATTTTACTTGCTAAACTACCTAATTGTTTTCCAAATAGCTGTGCTATTTTACATTCCCACCAAAAGTATATGAGAATCCATTTTTCATCAACACTTGGCACATGTAGTTTCTTTTTTTTTTTTAATTTTAGCCATTTAGTGAGTATGTAGTCAGTGATGAAAATATTTACTAGGTTTTCATGTAATGTTTATCATCCACATATCTCCTTGGTGAATTCTGTTTATATCTTTTCCCCAAATTTTGCTTAGGTTTTAATTCTCATTATTATTGAATTCTAAGTGTCCTGTTTATTTTAGATGGAAGAATTTTGTTGGATTATATAATATGTAAATAGTTTTTCCCAGTCTGTGACTTGTATTATCATTTTCATATCAGTACTATATTTTAATAATTATTTTTATTTTGATGAAATCCAATTTATTAATTTTTAGTTTTATAGTTTTGGCCCTCTTTGTGTTATTGTTATGAAATTGTTGCTAAACCCAAGGTCACATACATTATCTAGATTTTCAGAAGGAAACTTTAGAAAGAAGTTTTTTCTCTTTCTTTTAAATCACTGTTCAGTTTTTGAGTTAATTTTTAGAAGATGTGAGGTAGGAGTCAGGTATCTTTATTTTTTCATTTATGACTGTCCAGTCGTCTCAGTATGATTGTTGATAATAGTATCCTTTTTCTATTGAATGGGTGGGTTTGTTTCTGTACTCTCTATTCTGATGTATATATGCATATCTACCTAACATTTCTATTAAAAAAACATCATAATTTCTTTATTATTATAGCTTTTTGGGACCTAGTGCTTCTATGATATTTTTCACATTTAAATATTTGATCCCAGGACTTCCTTAGTGGTCCAGTGGCTAAGACTCTGTGCTTCCAGTGTAGGGGCACTGGGTTCTATCTCTGATCAAGAATCTAGATTCCCACATGCTGCAACTAAGAGTTTGCATGCTGCAACTAAAGATCTCACATGTTGCAACTAAGACCCAGTGCAGCCAAATAAAATAAAATAAATTTATTTTTTAAAAAGTACAGGGAGATTAGTAGGAATTGAGCTATTCTGTTTCTTCCTCCTACCTCCTCTCCCTCACAAAATTTATTACGTAAATAAACATTTAGTCCAATTCAACTTGTTTGTACATAGGATATAAGGTATGGATCAAAATTTATTGATTTTCCATTAAGTGTTTTTCAACCAAATAATCCATTCACTTAATATGCCGTCTCGGTCATTTATTAGATTCCCATGTACATTTGGGTCTGTTTCTTGACTCCCTCATCTATTCTCATGATTCTACTTTTCTACTCCTAAACCAACAGCAGCTCATTATTTATGATTTTTACATGCAGAACTTTTGAATTTTTAATCTAAACTTATTTGATTTCTTCTATTTAAATATTTAACACATCTTTATTTTTTTAAATTATTTTATTGTGGTAAGAATGTGCTGTGCTAAGTCACTTCAGTCCTGTCAGACTCTGTCAATCCTATGGACTGTAGCCTCCTAGGCTCCTCTGTCCATGGGATTTCCAGGCAAGAACACTGGAGTGGGTTGCCATTTCCTTCTACAGGGGATCTTCCCAACCCAGGGACTGAATCCAGGTCTCCTGCATTGCAGGCAGATTCTTTACCATCTGAGCTACTAGGGAAGCCATACTTAGCATTTACCTACCCTGTTAGCAAATATGTGTGTGTACTTATTATATTGTTACAAAAGTGTACAGTATAATATAGTACAGGTACAATGTCATACAGTAGATCTTTACAACTGATTCATCTCACTTAACTGAAACTTTATGCCTATTGATTAGTAATGCCCCATTTACCCTCTCCTCAGCTCTTTTGAGGGCTTCCCTGGTAGCTCAGCTAGTAAAGAATCTGTCTGCAAAAGCAGGAGACCCCAGTTTGATTCTTGGGTCAGGAAGTTCCCCTGGAGAAGGGATAGGCTACCCACTCCAGTATTCCTGGATTTCTCTGGTGGCTCAGACCGTAAAGAATCCATCTGCAATGCTGGGAACCTGGGTTTGATCCCTGGGTTGGGAAGATCCCCTGGAGGAGGGCATGGCAACTCACTCCAGTGTTTTTGCCTGGAGAATCCCCATCGACAGAGAAGCCAGGTGGACTCACTCACTCACGCAGTATGACAGTCTCTAGGTCCATCCATGTTGTTGCAATTAGCATTATTTCATTCTTTTCTATCGCTGAGTAATATTCTATTGTATATATGTACCACTTCTTTATCCATTCCTCTGGTGATGGACATTTAGGATATTTCCATATTCTGGCTATTGTAAACAGTACTGCAATGAACATTGGGATACATGTATCTTTTTGAATTATGTGTTGTTGTTTTTTTCCTGGGTATGCCTAGGAGTGGGATTGTAGGATGATATGGCAGCTTTATTTTTAGTTTTTTAAGGAAACACCATACTGTTTTCCATAGGACCCATACCAGTTTACTTTCCCACCAACAGTGTAGGAGGGTTTCTTTTTCTTCACACCGTCTCCAGCATTTATTGTTTGCAGATTTTTTGACGATGGCCATTCTGATCAGTGTGAGGTGATGTCTCATTGTAGTTTTGGTTTGTCTTCCTCTAACATAATTAGTGATGTTAGCATATTTTCATGTGCTTTTTGGTCATCTCTATGTCTTTGAAGAAATGTCTATTTATATCTTCTACTCATTAAAAAATTATATATATATTTATTTATTTTAAAAAATTTAAAAATTGATTTATTTATCTTAATTGGAGGCTAATTACTTTACAATATTGTGGTGGTTTTTGCCATACGTTGACATGAATCAGCCATGGGTGTACATGTGTCCTGAACCCCGCTTCTACCTCCCTCCCCATCCCATCCCTCTGGGTTGTCCCAGAGCACCGACTTTGAGTGCCCTGTTTTATGCATCGAACCTGGACTGGTCATCTTTTTCACATATGGTAATATACATGTTTCAATGCTATTCTCTCAAATCATCCCACCCTCACCTTCTCCCACAGAATCCAAAAATCTGTTTTTTATCTCTGTGTCTCTTTTGCTGTCTCACATATAGGGTCATTGTTATCTTTCTAAATTTCATACGTGTTAATATACTGTATTCGTGTTTTTCTTTCTGACTTACTTCACTCTGTATAATAGGCTCCAGTTTCATCCACCTCATTAGAACGGATTCAAATGCATTCTTTTTAATAGTTGAGTAATATTCCATTGTGTATATGTACCACAGCTTTCTTATCCATTCATCTGCCAATGAACATCTAGGTTGCTTCCATGTCCTACATACTGTAAACAGTGCTGCGATGAACATTGGGGTACACATGTCTCTTTCAATTCTGGTTTCCTCAATGTGTGTATGCCCAGCACTGG